CATTTCCCGGAGGGAAAGAATGCACGTTGGCGCGGCGTGCCCCTCCTCGCAACAGTGATAGCACACCAGTCCGTGCCTCTTGACGGGATATTGCGGCCTCGGTCCTCCACGGGCCGGCGGCCTTCCTTGATGTTGCGGCCTTCCCATCCAACCTGGCCTTCGGAACGTTGTGCTCTTGTCTTCTATCGGAATGCGCGGCGCCGGCGTGTGGCCGCGCCCTCGGAACGCTAACACGGGATCCGTGGCGTCCGAATACGCACTTCTCGTAAGCGGGCGGGTCATTACTGTAGACGCCCCGCTCGGGTCTTCTTCTCCGTAGCCGTTTCCCTCCGATGATTCAATAAAATCGCCCTCGGCGATAAGCGCACCTCCACAACCATTCTCACTTGGGTTACGAGAGCTTACTTCTTCTGACCCAGAAATTGACTCGGCCAGGTGGGCAGCGCCGCGAATTTTTCGCGCGGCATGCGGGGAATTCTGCTTGCTCCCCTTCCTCAGCGCCGCTGGCGCTTGCATGGTGACCATCTTGGTCTTCTTTCCCTGGGCGCGGCTCGCCGAGCCATGCGCCTTCGCAAATTGACCAGCCTTAGGAAAGAGACGTCCCTATTGTCCTGACGATATTGGGACACCATTGGCTTGATACTCGCGTCGAGCCCTTCAATAAACGCTGTAAATTGTTCCTCCATCGAGTAAACGTTTCCACGTCGATTGCTTGCGTCCGTCAGACGGATATAGAATTCCATCTCGTCTTCGGACGGTCTCTGATGTACTTGTCGCAAGGCGAGCACGGGTTGGCGGATCGCCTCATCGGTCGCGAAACTTCGCAATAACCACTGCACAGCCATCTGCCAGACGGAAATATTTCTATGGTGGGTTCCGGCCGTCTGTGACACAGAAGTGTACTGTCTTAGGGCTATTCCGCCGAGGAACTCCGGCAAAAAGCGGATCGCTTGACCTTCATTCATCCCTTGCGTGTCGAATTCTTGAACCAACTTGGCCAAGAAATCCAGAACCAACACGCCATCATCGCCGGTGAACGTATTGTCTCTCTTCACCTTCGGTGGTATGTCTCTTCTAATTTTTCGCACGGCGGACCGCCGGCCGCTAGACAAATACGTCTGCGGCTTCCGCAAGCGGTACGTCCGATACGAAAGCAACTTCTTGAAGAGGTAGTTGGTCGGATTTAATTCCTCCAACTCCTCCCATCGCGGACCACGTTGCGTTGCGATATCTTCTGGCTCCGCGTCCACATCCCTTCGCGAGGCGGACGAAGTAACTCCGCCTCTCTTTTAGATCTTCTTATTCGATGAAATTCCATTTCCTTCCGCTGATCGTCGGTCGGAATTTCCTGAGTGGTTCGACGAACCGTCGCCACCATTTCCTTCTGAACCATTCGACTCCGAATTTGAGTCGAAAATTTCACGGTCATCACTCCAGTGGCCTTTCTTCTTTCGGCCTTTGGCCGTCTTGGAACTTCTCATTTTGGAGTCCCTAATTCGGACAAACTTGTCCCTCTTCGCTCGGTCTTCAGGCCTTTCTTCGCCGAAGAGCGGCCCTTCCTCTAACCTTGGTCCTGACCGGCCCGCAGCCTGCTCAAAGTCCTTGAGGCGGCGCGCGGCGCGGTCAAATTTATCATCGATGCTGCCCCTTGTTTTGGCCAGAGTCTCCAGGGCTTGATTCGCGTCTCGCCGCGCTTCCTTGGCGGCGAGCTGCAGCGATTCGAATACCTCCGGCTCTCGGCCCTTGGTCGCATCGGTTAGCGAATTCTCGACGAGAACCACGCGAGCTGTCAGCTCTTCCAACGCCGTGTGGAACTCGGAGGTTTGCAACTCCAGTTGCTTGTGCACGAGGGCTAATTCAGCCTCGAGATCCTTCTTCGTCTCCTGGCAAATTTCGCCAATCATATTCTGTAACCTGGTTTCCAGGTTATCCTTGACGGCTTCAATCCCCGTCGGGGATTCTTGACCTTCGGAATCCGTGGCCGTATTGGCCTGGCTTCGGGTGCGAGGACCTCGCGGGATCCTCGACGCCCTTGCCGATCCGCTTCGGCTCGCCCCGGGACCGACGTCTCCGGGGGCGACTGTCGACATGGTCCATTACAAATGAAGGAACTTAAACAAAACAAAAACAAAAAAGAGAACACTACGATGCGTCAAGTAAACTTACGTCATCGAGACCACTTATGTAGTGCGTCTCCACGCACGCAGTTTCTAGGTCAGGTCTCCTGTACACTAATTTCTAGGTCGGGAGACCACTTCTGTAGTGCAACGTGCCTGGCAGGCCGCGAACATAGTCCGACGGTCAAACAAAAAGAAGAAGAAAAGCAACAGAAACAACCGCTGCCGATGGCACGCGCTACGGAGCGTTCGAGACTCCCTTTCCCCTTATGTGAGCTTGCGGCCCACGGTAGCTCGTAGGTTAAGGAAAGATGCCCGGCCCGGGAGGATAATGGTGGTAGAGGCTTGTGAAGACTTGAGTGCTCGGCGAGTGCAGGTTGGGCTTGTGTACGACAATGTACCCCGGTTCGCTGGGTTGTAAGGCCAATGCTCGACGAGCGTCTTCAGCACCTTGCGTATAATTCAAGGTCTTCGACGGGGCTCGATTAGCACTACCCGACGGGAACGTAACTATGTAGCAACGCTACGACCAACGTGTTGCCCGATGGCAAAACACCGACACCAATGCGATCGCAATCGAGGTTGGTGGTACCAACACTGTCTTGTATGATAAGACCTTCGAAGGACGCGTCGTTGCAACAGCCTTCCGACGAAACAGGACACTGTAGCAGCGCTACGACCTATGTGCAGCCCGATGGCAATCACACCAACACCGGATCGGTCGCGACCGACTCCAATGGAACCAACACAATTAAGGGAAAAATAGAGGTGGAGAAAGAAAAGGATAGGAATTAGAGATAGAAAACGGTAAAAGGATAAGGAAAGGGGACCCCGAGCAATAGAGGATGTCGTTAGCAGCCTAGAAGGGAAGCGCGTCGCGTGAACGGAAGCGGTCTTCGACAAAGGCGATATCTAACTCCGGCAACTCGGGTTACCTTTACTGACTTGGTGGTCAGCGGGCTAAGGTATATATTGCCCAGCCGGAGCCACTCCAGTAGCTCGCGGCGCTAGATCCTAGATCTAATCTAATGTCAGCAAAATTAATGCCAACTAATTAACTAAATAACATAAAATAATTAAAAATTAAAACTGTGCAATCATTCACACGTGTGTCCGCCAACCCGGACTACTTGTCATATCCAATTATTTTCCTTTCGTTCCACACCCATGTAGAGCCCATTATTGCACTACACCGACTGGTACCTAAACGTTCTCCCCCGCCGATGTCGGGTTTGATTGTCAACGGAATGGCAATGGAAATGGCCCGGCAAGGCCGGCATGATGTGTCGCTCGCGTTCCGTCTGTTATTTGCGGGGTACCTGAGGGCCAGTGAGCTACTCTCCACCCCATGTCTCCGATGTTTGCTTACCAGGAGACATTCGTTTGCATCACTGGAATGCCTCTACCATCGCCGGATTACGGCTTCGTGACGCAAAGACGGGACCAAACCAATTTGTCATCATTGAGGACCGTATCGTAATTCTTCTCTGTCGCCTTTATCTTTCATCGTTCTGTCCGGACTCCGCATCCCTTTTATTCCCATTTTCGTACAGCTTTCTGCGTTCGCAATTTCATTCAATGTTGAATTGTCTGCACCTGGGTCACGTCGGGTTTTCACTACATAGCTTGCGAAATGGTGGGACTACGGCCTCCTCCGTGGAGTGCCTGTGCAGGATATTATCCGTCGTGGTCGCTGGTCCGATCCCAAGGCTGCTACCACCTATCTTCAGTCTGGCCGTGCTCTCCTTCTTAGCTTTGCCATTCCTCGCGCTACCCAGACGCGTCTGCGGGCTCATTATCGGGCCATCACTGCGTGGGCCCAGTCAGGGGTGGGTGCAGAGAGATTTTAGACCCCGGCTTCGTACACTGCCTCCGCCGGGGGTCTAGTTTGGCATTTAATCATAAAAACAAACCCGCCGCTGGCGACATTAACAAGGACAGTGACGCACCGCAGAGTATAAATTCTGCGAATAAGATTCTGCTGAAGGAGAGGACCGAGGTAACAGGTGCCGTGAGCCGAGGAGAGGGTCAAGAATGGAGAAACTATGGAGAAGAGGAAGATTTTAGGGGATATCTAGGAATTTAGGTGACCCTCACAGGATCTCGTTCCGCGAGATTGGTGCGGTACGATTCCTGGGTGGGGAGAAAACCCTCCCCCCCTCTGCCGATTGGACCCTGGATGGGTACATAAGCGAGTGGAGGAGGTAGTAAGGCGTCACCTGTCCCCCCGGTAGCGACTTTTCTAGGGCCCGCCCGCCCACCCGAGAGATTTTAGACCCTGGCTCCGTACACGGCCTCCGCCGGGGGTCTACTTTGGCATTTAATCATAAAAACAAACCCGCCGCTGGCGACATTAACAAGGACAGTGACGCACCGCAGAGTGAGTTTTGCCACGGAAATGCTTGTGCACATAATTGTGCGTCCCCGTACTGTACGCATGCTTTGTACTCACCGGACGCCGGCGATGACGCCGTCAGAGTTCTAACGACAGTGTGCGCTGTGAGCTAAGCTCAATCATGATAGTGCGATGAGTGTTTTCACCAACGAGCAGCCACCGTCAGAACTATGAATGACCAAATGGCCATTCTATTGCTACTTCTCATTCAGAGCCATGCTCGGTAGGATCTAAATGTCGAGTCTCGTCGGCCGGGCGGCGGCCGACGCTTCCTCTGTGTACAGTAAATTTGGATTGTACGCCCGCACATTTTGACATAAATGTGTGCGATACACATTTAACCTAGCATGGGTCGCCCGTCCGAGAAAACGTCGCGTTGTGTGTGCACAACGTGCCGCTTGCGTGTCACAATAATTTGCGATTTTAGAATTCCAGGAGTCGCCCACTGAAGGTACAGTAGTTGAGGGTCGTAGCAACGCCCTGAACGGCTACAGCACTTTTGAAAGTGTTCTGAAATCAGAATCGAAATTAATGCTTGGTTTGGGTACGCATGGTACGTTTGATGCAGACCGGACAGTTCCAAATTTCAACGTGTATTCAAGACTGCAGGACTGACAACTCCGCAAGCCCATGATCATTCCGCATCCCGCCTTCCCCTCTTTTCTCCCAGCGACCGAGCTTGGCCTCATTCCTTCAATCACGTCTTCTCTAAATTTTCCACAGTGACCCTTCACTGGCCAAGCCAGCCGTCCCAAAGAGAAAACACCGAGTCTATCTGGAAGATACCTACCATCTCTACGCTGTGGGCAGCAACATGTCAACTCGCATTCTTCGCTCTGTCCACAATGGCGTCGAACGCCCTGCCAAACGTCGTCGTCTTTCCTCAAACTCGCCCCTCGCTTCTCTTTCGAAGTTGCAACCTCAAGCAGACGGTCCAAAAACGCTCCATCGAAAACGGATGCGCTCAGACGTCTTTCGCACAGCATGCTCTTCCGCACCACGCAAGAGGCAGCGTCCTCCCACCATAAAGATCGATGCGGTTGCTCAATCACCCCTTCCGAAACGCATGCGCACCGCTCTTGAGGATGTGAAGATGGCGGATGTCAGCAAGACGACTAAAGCTGGAACTAAGCCCCGCCCGCGAAGGAAAAAGACCCTGCTCCGAGACGTGCTGCGTGCGGAAAAAGTAACTCGTGCACACTGGCAGAATGTCATCGTGCAACGGGCTAATTCAAACACCTACCCCGGAAACCAATTCGTGGGGCATCCCGTCGACGATGTCAATGAACGAACGCCTAGTGCGAGTCCGGGCATGGGGTCGCAGTCAGCCTCTCCTGGGAACGTCACCAGGCTCACGGGGGAGGAGGAGGTGTGCGAAGTGATTGATGCCTCTGAAAACATTGATCCAAACGCTCATCAAGGAGCTGGCTATCACTCAGCGCATTCTGGAGGCGCTGCTGTCGTGCCTAGTGTGCATGCAGTTTTGCTAGACGATGGTTTATGCGCCGTGCGTATTGTTCGGGCGGATGGATCGACCCAGTCTGTTATTATTCAGCCCCCAGACATGGGTCACGATGAGTGGTGATTTGGGTTCTAAATCTGACGCGCTCTTGTTTATGTATTCATTATTGTTGGGGTTCAGAGTCCTATCCCATCTTCGAGTTTCAAGGTCTCTCCCTGTCTTTCCCTACTTCTAGAAGGTGCAAGTACTGATGGCGGGACTAGTCCATAGCAATAGTGGCCGTTAATGGTAAACTCTTGTCAAGCTTCTCCTTCTGTCCTACCAGCCCATCGTCCCGAGGGTAGCAACAGCAATAACGGGTCATCATGCACTACTCAGCTTTTCCAGTTGAGGATGTAGTGGCCTCTCCTGCACTCCCCATGCTTATAGGCAAAATTCTTGTCTGCGGTTTAGACGTTGCTGAACTGCTACGCGATGCCCACGGTACTGCTGCTCGAATGTCACCTGCAAAAAGTTTTGAACTCCGCAGGGCAGACGATAACGCCTCGAGAAAGACATTCACAAAGAGACAGCGCAGGACAAGATAGGTAACTACAATGCATGGGATCATGATCACATCAAGCAACAAGCGCACTCTTGTCGTGCTCCGAGCCAACTCACGGCTCATTTCATAGTACGGAAACCCACCTTCGCCAGTGGAAAGCAGGCCATGTTGAAATGCGGTATCTGCGCTCGCAGAATCCTCTGTCGGCTCTGTTTCTTCGTAATTATCGTAAATCGTATTCAAGCGGGCAACGGTAACGTGTGCGATTTCGTTGTCGATGTACTCTAGCTTCGGCTTCAAAACCAGGAGTCCCATCGGTTCATCAGTGTATCCGGATACTGGACCGTGAGCAAGAATGCGCGCAACCTCGTCGTAGTAGGTGAGGACGCTGGAGTAATGCTCTGGCCGAAGGAAGTAGTCATGAAAGAAAACCCGGGAATGCTCTCTGAGTTGGGGTAGAATTCTTAGAGCGCATGCGACACGCGCTCGACCGTTAATGAGTACTTTGTCAAACGCAACCTCGGACAAGTTCATCCTTGGAAAATCAACATAATTGTGAAACGCCGTGTAACTTCCTTCCTCAAACTCCGACTTCAACCCCCAGCCAGCCTTGCCATGAGGCACTGGAGCACAAAATGCTCTCAATCTCTTCGCCAACTCCGGATGCTGCTTCATTTCTGACGAAATTCCTTTGCAAACTTGTGCGTCGTGTTCGATAACGTACGACTGTGATACGAGCATGGGAAACGACAGAGTCGTGCCACTTGCACCATACTCTAGATAAGTATCTTCAGGACGCAGATACGACAATAATAGGTCAACTTCAGGTCTGCGCATCGGCAACGATTTGTAGTTAACGAACTCTTCCCGCGCTGCAAACTCCGCACTTTCGTCCCTTGACGTTGCTCCTATCATGTATGTAGCCATACCTGCAGGAGCATTTTGTAGGTTCGGTACATGGCGGGCTGCTACACGGCCTGAAGCCTCGAAAAGACGCCCCGCGAAAGGGTAAAGAATGAGAGAGAAAGTGAAAAAGTAGGAAAACAAAATGATGAAGAAAGCTGTTGCAGCGTAAATTGTAAGGACTGTCACAGCGCGATAGCGACTCAGCTTTCTGGTCAGGAAACGAACAAGCAGGGTAAACGTCTTCTCAAAAAGCATTTCTCTAAGGCATGTCACGCAGTGCTCGTACGGTAGTACGCAGATTCAGCGATAGGCCGGAATGAATTCTTGCAACAGAAGCGCAATGATCATCGCTCAGATGTGTAACATGTAGCGTCTCTGCTTCTTCTGCTACACGTACTGTACCAAAATGGTGTCTTTTTTAAGACAAAAAAATATATGTTTTCTTATGCGGAAACTTTCTACTTCATTTTTTCAAAAAGACGTAAAAGCACAGCAGTTTGATTTCCATTTTCACACAATTAGCCACAGATGCATGCGTACCTGCAGCATGGCTAGCGCTTTAGCACTCGTCCCACTTCATCCTGCCTGAACCACACGGAAAGGGCCCAAACCGTCACATGATGGGTGCACAAAGAGTGCTATAAACAGTGAACGCAAGGAAGCACTCGAGTGTATTTGCAGGATATGAAGTTGCTTCGGAGCGCTTCAACCATCGTTTAATCTTTTGGTATTCTAGGCTGGTAGACTATGTATTTGAAGTTGCGGGAATATAGATATGATATAGGAACATGGACTATGCCACAAGTTTCTTTGATGGTGTGAGCGGAAATGAGAAATGGTTTCAGTCCCTTCATCGACCCTTTACACAAGTGCCATCTTAGTTCGATGATGACAAATCTACCATCTGCAAATTGATCCACGAAAGCGATTCAAAGCTACATAGAGTGATGCCAACTTTCCACACTGCGGCCCATCTTTAAATAAAGGAGTCTAGCCAAGCGCCTATCCGTACAAGTCTACTGAACATGGATTCTCAGAATCTTTGACGAAATCATTACGAAAATCAGAATTCAGTCAATCTTCAACGTCAACTGGATATATCTTCGAGCGGTCTTCGAGCAATCTTGCGAAAAGCAGAGAGAGATACTCTCAACATTTGGGTGGTCATTTAGTATCTTCATCGTTCTCTCTATCTTCTGCAGCCGTGTTAGGCGACCGCACAATGTACTTATAATGTCCCTCTGCTGACCTCCTGGGAGAAGCAATGAAAGACGAGAAAGGTATATTTCCAAGGGTGTTGGCCTCGGCGGAGGCACCGGACGATCTCTTGCTATTTGGACTTGATGTTTTGGCTGGCGGGACCGCTACCACCTCAAGACATGGCACATCGTCTTTGTTTCTAGGCATATCTGCAAGAAGGTGGGAAAGGGACCAATGAGCAGATCCGACTGCCCACGACTCGCCCGTGTAGATCAGTCGAAACACTGCACTAGCTGTTATTATAAGAACTGAACAAACGAGACCAGACACTAATAAAAACAGTCTCCAATCCCATGCGATCTCTGTCACCCCTGCCACTGGTTTGATATAGCAGGATCCATTGATTGTAGCCGATTCTTTCCCTTCAACACGATTCAGCGGAAACTGCGAAGATGATACAGCCATCATGTATGCGTGATAAAGAATCTGCTTGTCATATTTTGAGAGCTCATCTCGTCTCCACCCAGCATCTGCGGTATACATGAGAGCAGCTTGCCCGAGCACGTTGACCGTCGGTTCGCAGCTACCTTCAGCTACTCGAGCGGACAACACCACAAGAAGTTTTAGTCTTGTTGTCGATGAATTGCTTAGTTTTGAGATGAAGGAAGGATCTATGAAAATATACTTCTCTTCAACAATCACATCTGGGCAGGCATAAGCTTGCGACCTAATGTCTTGACCGAGAAACAGAGCACTGGCTCTTGACGAGCGGTAAATATGAATCAATTCTTTCGGAGCGCGTGCTAGCAGACATTTGCCGTTTATGCTCCTTGCTTGTATACACACACTGACTGTGTCCTTTGGGACAGCACGTACAGATTTTTCTCCATGTTGAACGCATTTTTCATCATGCAAGGCCTTGGATACATTGAGATAGTGAACATGCGTAGTTTGAAGTGTTGGTGATGCACAATTAAAAAAGCCACTAATTCCCCGCCGGCCACATGGCCCCTTTCCCTCTGAATCAGCCAGGTGGCCAATGCGTCTTCCCATGCCCTTACAGCTATGGGGAAACAGAACATATGACTCAGAATCAGGGACGCGAGGTTGGAGAAAGAACATTTTTACCTCTATGACGGTAAATGTTGCCTGGATTATCTTAGAGTTGACTCTCAAGTGCTTGTCAACACAGACAGGAGCAGACATATTCTTTTTATTCCCATAGATGTCCGTTGCCCCGCCGACGCCGACAGATGCAATTCCGTCTTCCCCACATTGAATTTTTTTTGCCACCTGTAGGACCCATGGTTCAAGGATAGTTCTGTATGGTGGTGTATCCAGTTTTATCCGCGTAGGCTCATACTTACCGA